GACCCCACTTCCCCATGTGAGGGAAGCCAAGGACCTGGCCATTCACCTTGGCTTCCTAAGTTTGGCTTCTAATGGAATTAAATCCTAAGTCACCTCCCCACCTGCTCAGGGGCCTAGTAACTTGCCCCTTTCCTAAGGGGGAGTGGTGTTGGGGACGGGGGGCAGACATTTGGCAGTAAAAGGCAAGCGGGGAGAGGAATGTCACACCAGGACCCAATACTCAAGTTTCCATAGTCTTTATTTTCCTTGTGCCCTGTCACCTGTATACATGCTGCGACATACGCAGTGGGTGAGAATGGAGGACAGGCCAATACTCCTGTTACAAACAGAGCCACCAGACGCTTCTTAACACAGGGGGACAGAGGAGATTTAATGGAAGGGTGCCTGCCTTTCTCAGCTGAGGTCCCCAGACCCTGGAGGGCCGAACAACCTCAGAGCATCTCCCTAACACTTTTCAAATATGCAAGAAATTAAAAAGACCATTCCCGACACACTTTCTATTCCCTCCAATACCCCAAAGGCAATCAACTAATGGCAAAAAATATATATATATTCTCAAACAAAATAGGTTATAGTTCCTTTATTTACAAGTCTTTTGAACACCATCCCTGTATGAAGCGTACATTCAAATATTTTTAGCAGTGAGTAAGTTTAACCATGGAACACTGTAAACAGAGCCTTTAAATATTTTCTTCATCTTTTCTCCCCCTCTACATTGCATCTTTTAAAATTTGCTTTGGTTCTTTCAGGGAAATATATATATATATATATATAATATAATATTTATCTTTTAAAATAATTCCAAATCACTCTCGAGCTCTTGGAAGGTCGCTGGAAGCTTCCAAGCTCAGTTCTGGGGTGACGAAGGGCAGAGCGCAGCGTGGGAACTGGGTGCTTGGGGGGGCTCAAGCCCCTCATAGCTGGGGACCGCTGGCCAGGCCTGCTGCTCTGCTGCTCCGCCGCTCCGCTGAGCAAATCCAAGCTTGATTTAAGTGTGCTGTAGACTTTGCCAAGCTGCCGCACTCCACAGGCATTTCCTGCAGGGATCTGGGGGCCAGCGGCCTGGGTGCAGCCTCTCGGCTTTTTGATGTCTTCCACCTCAGGGAATGGTCTGCTCTGTCACTAGGCTTTAGGCCAGAGTGGCAGGCCAGGACGAACACCCTAATCGTAGGAAAAACTAGGTGAGCTGCAGAAGTCGACTGCTGGAAGCTCAGGCCTGGGACAGTGTGGTGAGTGGCTAGGAGCGGGTGGAGATGCCCCTAATGCCACCTGGAATAGTAGATTATTTTTCCCTCAAGGATCAGCAGCCCTCTCCCACCTCACAGCGTCCTCTTAGTCCAGTCATCTTTCACATTGGCTTTGGAAAGGAGCCCCAATCCGGACGTCTAGGAATCCTCCCCCTTCCTTCTGCTCCTGTTCCCAAACTGAATTGGGTTTGGAGATCTTGACGCAGGGGTCCTGGAAGTGGACAGGCTCCATGTGGAGGGTCCCTGGTCGGGGTCATTCTCCAGGGGGTCTGGAGGGGGCCCAGTCCCTGATGGAGACCACACCCAACCCGAAGCTCTGCAGTCTCCAAGGGTGAACCACCAGGGGCCCCAAACCATTCATTCTCATTGACGCACAGCTCTCCAAATCCAATGATTGTTAGAAATCTTAACCACCGATGCCCAGGAGCGTCCCGAGCGGCCTCCTTCCAGGCTGTCTCCGTGTAGCCTCCCCTCTCTTGCACATCGCATTTCTTCAAAAGTCACCGCGTGCCGTGACCTTGTCAAGGTCAAAATCTGCATATAATCTCATGTGTATGAAGCCCCCCACCCAGTTCCAGTTGGCTGGAGCCTTAGAGGAGCGGGTTGGCCGAGTAGTACTGTAAACGGTCTCTGTTAATTTTTTTTTCCTTCATTCTCCTGTTCTGAAACCAGATTTTGACTTGACGGTCAGTGAGGTTGAGCATTCGAGACAGCTGCAGGCGCTTCTCTTTGTTGATGTACACACTGAAGAAGAACTCCCGCTCCAGCTCCCGGATCTGGTACTTGGTGTAGGGGCAGCGCTTTTTTCGGGTTCGTTGGCCACCTGTGAAGGGAGAAAGAGGCAGGGAGAGAGCCAGGTGTGACAGCTGCAGTCCATCCCAGAGCCCCAAGTGGAGGAAAAGGGCTGGCCGCAGGGACTGGAGGCCCTGCCCAAGCCCCATCAAGGTCCCCCCAGGTCCCTGCCTCAGGCTCCTACTGCCGGCTGGGCAGAGGCTGCCGGCGGAGGCTCAGCTCCAGATAAAAGCCAGCTCCCTAGATAGGCCCCCAGGGAAGCTGCTTACTCTGCCCCAGAGCAGAAAGGAGGGCTCCTCACTGCAACAGGCGAGTTTGCGCCGCTGAAACCGCTTTCAAAGCAGCGAGCGGGGTCGCCGGCTGTCTACAGCCTGGCCAGACTAAACAAACAGCCGCCCGCCCGCGGACATTTCACCTTCCAGCACCTGGGCGGCCGGTTCCCGAGGCAGTAAAGGCGGCCCCAGCCCCAGTCTTTCCCGGCTGCGGCGGGACTCGGCCCTCGTTAACATATGGGGCAGCTGCCGGGTCTTCGTCTGCCTGAGTCCTGGCCATCAGCTCCTGCCTCCCCGGCCAGCCTCCTGGCTTCCGCGAGGTGGGGAGGTGGCAGCGGAAGCCCCCTACCCTAGGCCTTTCCTGAACACCAAGGCCACACAGCCATCCTGGTGCCCCCCGGCAGAGCAGGGGTGCTATTCCGATAGGGTGGAGGAACGAGGGGTTTCCCAGAGCTGCGGGCAGGCTCGACTTGCTCCCCTTTCAATAAAACTCCACCAGAAGTAAAGAAAAAAACCCGCTTTTGACAGATTGAATAACAACTGTAATACGCAGTCGGACAGAAGGCGGCACGTAGTTGCCACCGCGCCACAGGAAAATGGCTTCCTTTGGACAAAAAGGCCAACTTTGGGTTAGTTTGTTTCTTTTAATGTATTACTCGAGCTAAGCGGGCTATTTTATCTGTTAAACACGTTCCTAGTGCCATCGTTAAACAGCGATGTCTTTGAATCCCGGCCGGGACTGGAATCCCGGCGCAACACATGGCTTTTATAAAAATCTCCGGATTACCTCGCTATCAAAGGCTCCGGAGCCCTTGCAAGGGGGAATTTACAGGCGCCCACCTCCGGCTCCCCAGCCCCGACCTGGTCCCGAGAGGGGTCGAGCTGCTGGGCTTGGGAGCCGAGAAGGGAAAAAAGGGGAAAAGGCAGTTGTGTGGGGTTTTTTGTTTGTTTTGTTTTGTTTTGTTTTTTTGCAGGCATGCCTCGGCCGGTGGGTATTTCACGGCCAATTTCAGCACTCGCCACGTGATCCCGCCTTTTATAACAAAGTTTTGTTGGGGGAAACCTAAAGGCCCTTCATAAACCTTATATGCTTATAAAACAGCATATAAAAATTTAACAGCGGTGCTGCGCTAGATTTCCAACTCCCCTTTCATAAAGCGCAGGGCGCTGCCTTTATACGTACTGGAGCCGCCGGCCTTGTCCTCAGTGTGGCCGGAAGACGACTCGGGGCTGCTGCTGCTCTCGGGGCGCCGCCGCCGCTCCTTTTCCTCCGCCGCCGCCTCCCGGCAGCCGCCGGCGCCGCTGTCCGAACTTGAAGTTGCCGGCGTGCCCGTGGCCGCTGCCGCCGCCGCCGCCGCCGCGGAGGTCGCCGCGGCTGCCGGGGGCCCCTTCTCGGCGCTCTTGTCCCCAGGGTAGTCGGAGGAGGCGAGGTTTTCCGGGGTGCCGTAGGCCGTCTCGAAAAACTGGTCGAAAGCCTGTGGCAGGACGCCGTTTCGGCCCACGGTGCTATAGAAATTGGACGAGACGGCGGGGGTGGGGTGGTGGTAGACGTTGGCCGAGCTCTTGGCCAGCACGTCGCCAGGCACGCCGGCCGCGCTGGGCGCCTGCAGGCAGTCTCTGTGCACGAGCTCCTCCGCGGAGTAGCAGTGGGCCAGATTGCCGCGGGGGTGCCATTTAGTGGCGGGCTCAATGGCGTATTCTCTGAAGGTCACTTCGCGCACGGGTTGGACCTGGGGCAGGTTGGAAGAGTAGGAGTATGTCATTGGGCGCGAAGACGGGGTCTGGGGCAGAAAAGAAGGGAGGCTGGAGAAATCTGGACCCGAGACGTAGTAAGTACAACTTGGCAAATACATGTTAGAGGAGCAGGGACCACGCTCATCAAAATCCATCATTGGGCTACCTTGGGCTTTCCGCAGTAGCCGAGCTTAACATGATTCTCCACTGCAGCTGCCTCTTTGAAGCGGATCCGTGAAGTAGAAATTTGGAGACGTAAGCTGACGTGGAAATCTATCCCCATCCTTAGCAGGGAGGTGCTGGTCATGTGACCCGATGTTGAAATTGACAAGCTGCTAGCTAGTCCGGACCTTTCCCCCCCCTTTCCTTTCCTTTCTTCCCCCCCCCCCCCCCCCGCCCCCAGCTTCCTTTCTTTGTAGCCACCTCAGGGGAAGCAACAGATCGTCACTCGGTGTTCTCGCCGAAAGCACGTAATCGCCGGTGTAACTCATGTTGGCTGGGGGGGCCTCCCGGCGCGCGGCGAGGCTGGGTGCTACCCCGTGCCAATTGCTTGTGCTCAGCTGCACGGTCCTGGCCCTCGAGTGCGCCGAGGGCGGTGAGAGAGCTCAACTCCTGCCACCTACCACTCCCCGGGTGAGGGAAGCCACAGGCTGGGGGTGGCCGGGTGGGAGCTCGTCGCTGCGTGGCCCGTGCGTGGTCTTGGAATCTATTCGCCTGGAGGCTCGCGTTCGCACCTCCTTCTTCGCTGTCCCCCTCCCACAGGCTTGCTTTGGGAACCACCTCTGCCTCCGACTTTGGCCGGACCCCCTTCGGGACAGGGTTTGCAGCCGTGGATGTGCCTGCCTCGTGGCTCGCCCGATTTGCACGGTGACTTGATTACACGCTCGCATTCATGGTCACTTCCGAAGCGCTTTAGTGCCTTCCGTCCCTAAACCGCCAACAACCTGGGCGGCTTCCCCCGCGGTTTGTCAGGGATCCGCAGGTCCCGGAAAGCCCTTCGTCTCACCCGGGATCCACCTCCCTTTCATTCTCCCTGCCGGCCTCCTCACCCCACGCCCTGCCCTTGGAGAAACCCGCTCCTCCTCGCTGTCTGCCGGGGTTCGGAGTGACACCGCAGAGCCAGAGGCGTGGGAGCTGCGCCGCTGCGCACTGGTCCGCCCGCCCCCCTGCCTGGTCTTCTGGAGCTGAGGACTCGGGGAACCATGGAATTGAGGCGAGCCTTGGGCTGCCTTAGAGGCGCTGACATCCAAGGAGACTTCTCCTGGGTATGCTGCACCTTCCGGGAGCCCACAGCTGAGCTCCAGAGCTGTAGGGAGAGTGGGGGCAGTGAGCAGGGGGCGAGGGCCAGGGAGCCGTGGCTGAGAAATGGGTAACACGCCACCTTTCCTCTGCAAAGCTTGAGAGCCAGGGATGTGCAGGGCAGAAACTCAGAAGGCTCGGCGCCTTTCCGGCTACTCATCCCACAGAAGGGACACAATGCCAAAGAAAAGAGACGTCTTTCTGAACCTCCCAGCACCTTGGGTGAAAAGAACGCTTTGAAAAGGCTAGGTTTGAGCTAAAGAGAGAGACAGAGGCCATAGCAGCTAGTATGAGTCTAGCTTTCTTGGGAAGAGGAAAGAAAAAAAAATGAGATGGTGAAAAATGCTTGCCATCCTGCAGGACTGAATGAACAATGTTTGGGAGAAGCAGAAGAGAAGGGCATAGAGCAGCCAGGCAGGGCCAGGCACTGGGAGGGGGGTCCAGCTCTGAGGCCTCCCCACACCTATCTTCTTGGAAGGAACTGTATGTCGCTGAAGAAAAGTTGAAAAATGAAAAAGAATAACCTTTTCCCTTTCCCCATCCAGGAAATAGCCGAAGGTATTTATATATCTCGGGGAGATTTAGAGTATAACCTCTAAGATCTTTGGTATTTAAGTGTCAACATCGATTTATTTATTTATTGCTGAGCTAACTGTAACTGACACAATAACAAAATCTAATCGTGTATTGCACTGCAAAAGAAATATTCTCATTATGTATTTTCTCTAAATGATGGCCCACCATTGCATTTGAATACTCGCTGTAAATATCAATAATATCGAGTAATTACTCTGTAGTGGAGTACACTAATTTATTAGCATTTATGTTTATGTGGCTCCAACCCCCCCCCCTTTACAGGGTTGCGTATCACAAATCAAACTACTCCGACACATTGGTTTAATGAACGCTTTATTCAGGATTTGCTGCAAGAAGTTCCACGCCCCTTGAATCCCTGAGAGCTGAACTTGAAATTATTTGTGCATCTCCAGCTTGACATATTTGGGCACTGTGGCTTGTGCAGAGGGCAGTATCGGTGTGAGTGAAAAGGTCTGGTGGGAAGGAAGGTCATTGGGAAGGGCAGCTTGAGACCTCCTAAAGCTGGGAGTCACAGTTACAGGATTGCCCTGCAGCGAAAAAACTTCCATTTCCAGCGGAGACCAACAAGGCAAAATATTTATTTCTCCACAGCATCTTTCTTGAAGACTGAATATACAAGGGAGGAGAGGTTTGCGAACAGCAGTATTTAATTCATCCCCTGGCTGATTTTGGCTCTCTCAAACTCTCTCCCAGCAGCCCACCCAGTCCCCGCCACCCCGACCCTCGGACAAAAGGAATGCTTGAGGGGTTTCAGTGACTTTGCCATAACAAAGGCGCCACCATTGCGGGGCTTGCCCTGCCCCTGGGTGAAGGCAAACAAATTCTTGCACTTGTATTAGGGCTTTTAAGACTATAATTGAACCCGGGGGCGTCTAGGAGAACCAAAAACTGTCCTAGACAGACCTGGGGTTTTATAGCAGTGTTGGCAGTCAACTTCAGCCTGTGCCTGAGCAGACCGGCTGCAGTGGCCCTCCAGCGGGGGACACCAGGCTACCTACCCTAGCTGCACGCAGCCCCTCTCCCCATTAGATCGGTTTTCCCCTTGGTGCCAGGGAGAGGGGGGTCACCACAGAAAGGTTGGTATAGGGATATGTGCCGTTCCGTAGAACTAGTGCCTCCCATGTTCTTGAGAGCCAAGCCAAGAGGGTGCTGGTCAGTCTGGATCCCATGGGTGTCTGCAGGAGACAAAGGCGAATTCCCGAGGAAAGGCTGGGGCAGGGCAAGGCGCTCTAGGAGCGGCTGGAAGGGCAATTCGGCTGAACCAAAGCGGGGTGCCGGGAGGGTCTTGCAGCCTGGAAGGGGGTGAGTGGGGGCGTTGCTGTGAAGATGGATGAGGATAAAGGCTCTTGATGCCAGAAGGGAAACCGCCTGGAGCGGTGAATGCTTTTAGTTCCCCGGCAGGGACGGGAGGGGGATGCTCTGATCCCCAGTGCTGCGCACTCTTTCCAGCTTTGCCAGCTTCTGCCCCCCTTGCCTGGAATATACTGGCGGTGTGAATGTTTTTTGGGGGGGCTATTCGGAGGTAGGTGCAGCTCTGAGGATCAGACCAAATCTTAGGGAGGCAGAGCTTCGGGTCCTTGATTTTGACTTTGCTCTGAGCCTAATTGACTCTTCCGCTTTGCAGGAGGCCCAACAGCCAAGCTGAGCCCACCCGGCTCAAGAGAATACCCGACGGCGGCGGGGGGGGCGGCTAAGGCTGCCCTGGAAGGCCAAGTGCGAGTTGCATTTTTGAAGAGTCCAAGATGGGCATGGCTGTGACATTGGCCCTGGAGACTGGTTTTCCATGAGTTGTTCTTTCTCAGGAGCTCCACGGTGTGAGGCCATCTCCAGAAAAGTCTTCAGCGTGTATTTCCTTTTATCGTCAACCCGGAGCCCCATGGCAGCTAATGCAAGAGGCCAAAAATGTTTTGGAGGAAGAAAAACAAAGGCAGGAAGTGGCGGCGGCTTGACGGTGCGTGTGTGTCTGCGGAGAAGGGAGGGAGCCATTTCAATCTCTTCTTGTTTTTCCAAACTTCAGGGTCCAGGCAGCCCTCGCAGGGCCGACCCGTTGCTCCCCGCGCAGCATTTGGAGATGGCCACCCGGAGAGGAGAAGGCTGGCGCCGGAGCCAGCCTTGTCAGGCGGAAACGGCTAACGAGGCGATTTGCTCAGCAAAGCAGACCAAGCCTTTCCAAACTTCATTTGATTTGGCCCTAAAAGTGGGGGGTTGGGGGATTCGGAAACACCTCCCGGACCCTCCTTGGCGGGCGGGCTGAGTGCTCCGTAGCGGGGATTCGGGAGCCCTGCACTCCACGCGCCTTCCCAGGCGGGATATGGGAATAAAGTGTGTCCAGATGCCTCTGCCCAGCACTGCCGCCTCCCCTTCTTCTTGCAGCCGAGGGGTCTGGGCAGCAGCCGGAGGGTGCCTGCTGGCAGTGCCCGGGCTGGGTACCCTTGGCACGGTTAGTGTGCACCGGTGTTGTCGTGCTGGGGGCGTTTCCAGCAGAGTCATTCAAGGGATGTGAGCAGAAAGGACCATCACTTGATAGGCAGCCTAACACCCGCTCACTCTGAGGGAGGATAGAGCTGGGGGGCAGGGAGTGCCTCCACGCTCCGGGGTTTCCAACCCCAACTGGCCATGCTGCTAGGCTGCCCTCTTCTCTCTTCGGGGCCGGCTTGGCCTCTGGCAGCGGCTCATTGTCCCGGAATCTGAGAACCTGAAGTCCCCGTGCCACTTGCAGCCCTGTGACTGCTCAGTGCATAACCCTTAGTGTGAATGCCAACATCAGGCTGTCCGCTCACTCTGTTTTCTCCCTAGCCATCCGTCTCCATCTCCCTGCGGCTCCTGCTTGCCGGTCTCCTGCCTCTTTCCAGCTGAGTCTCCCCTTCTGCGGCCTCCCGCCTCTTCCGATACCTCCCCTAAGCTGAGCAAGAGCTGAGGTGCCACTGGAGGGCACTCAGTTCGGAAAGCACAGAGAAAGGAGGCTGGTTAAGTTCTTGACTCTCCCCCAATTCAGGCCTCCACCAGGGGTCTGAACTGGACCTCTCACTTCCTTCTTCTGAATACTCCATTCCAGGTTCTTTTTCTCTCCCTCTCTGATCAACACTCCCTCCTTCTCTTCTTAGGACTCAGCTCCTGCTTTTGTGGGCCTGGCAACCTTGCATGGCAGCCGGCCTGGGAGGGGTAAGGCCCACCTGACAAACCAAAATTCACTCCCAAAGATCAACAGTTGTGTATCTGTGGACCACATAGCGCACCAAATTTTTTGCTTTTTCTTGCTGGTCTGAGCCCCTACCTTCCTCTGTCCCTAAATGCCACACCTGTTTCTAGAAAGCTATACAAAAGACCATTTCAACCCCCGCGATCGTACTGCACACAGGTGCAAGAGCCAGCTGGAGGACGCAGGGTGGAAACGGCTATCAAGCCCTTCACGGGGCTGGAGGCCAGGCCGCCACTTGGGGGCTTTCTCTTTCCAAGTGGGAGATATCCTGGAGGTACATCTGTCCTCCATGGTAAGCCTGGGAGGTGGGTTGTCTGGGAAGTTCGGGAGATCTCCTAGAATTTGTTCTTAGGAAATGGTCTATTGGCAGATCATGGCCAACTAATCACATTTCCAGGCACCGTCTAGAGGAGGCACTGAGGCTTCAATGAAGTATCAGGAGACCCCCTTCTATCACTACTAGGTGGAGGCAGGGGTTAATTTATCTCCTTGGCTTGGAGAGGCACCTGTCCCACCCACAAGCTCCTCCTCCCTTCCCTAAAGCAGGGGAACAGGTAATGCCTTGAACTTGACCTTATGGTTGGTTCTTATCTGACTCACAGGTTCAATCTCCAAGGTCCCTAAAGATCTGAAGAAGTCCACATCCTTCCACTGGCCACTGAGGGCTGGGGCACAGGGTTTAGCAGAGGGTCTCAGACACCCAAGCAATCTGGTTATTATTTAGTTTCGTGTGTCCCAAAGTGATGGGAGAAAGAGGGTTACTTCCTTTGAGAAGAACTATTTTTATTTTTATTGTCGTGGACTCATTAAAGATTTTTTTCCCCTACTGAGTGGGAACAGATGGGGGTGGGGGTTGAAGGGCAAAGCCCTGGTTCCCAGTGTCTGCCTTCCATCCTCCCCGCAACTTCGGCCCAAACGGGGCTTGGGTTGCCCCAGCCAAGTGTATCCGTAAGAAACAGGACAAAAGACGGCAGCCCAACCAGAAGGCCATTTCTGGTCCTCGGGGTCTTGGTCCGCACGGCTGTGGCTAACAGGAAGCTCCCATACCCCAAGCTTCAGCTGCCACCTAGGGCAGTTCCCCAGGCTCCTCCGGTTCTACTCAGCCTCGATCCATGGCTCACACTCCAGGCTGGAGAAGAGCGAGCCCCTGCCTAGTCAAACCCTGCCCTTAGGAGTCTCCCCTATGTGCCCTGATAGGCAGTTCTGTGATGGTACCTGTCCACCGACAATCTTTCTACCTACTGTCCCCTCAAGACTCCACCCATGCAGCCCTAGGGATAAAGCTCAGCTTTCCTGCATTCTGTTAAAAAAAAAAAAGATGAAATCATTTGCAGGGTCTCTTTGATTCACCTGGAGCAATAAACTCGGCGGCAGAGCCGGTTTAAGCGATTGACCACTAGGCCGGATGCGGTGACCTGCTGCAAGCAGGCTATGGGCAGAGGTAAGGGGCCCCGACCCCTCCACAGCACAGTAAGGGGGTTCTTGGGGTCTGAGAGTCAGGGATTTTTACCTTTGGCAGAATGCACCTCACTTCTTGGCCCATATTTTAGGCAGGAGAAGAAGAGCATCAAAGTTCTCACCAAAGGCCTGCCATGCACTGAGGGCGCGGACCTGGACTCTGGGACCTCAATAGAAGGTCCCAGCAGGTTCCTTGCTTCCTTATTCTATTCCATGTCCAGCTGGCCCGGCTGCCCCTGCCAGGTCCCTTGTTTCTACCGGAGCTCACGACTCGGATCCAGCCGCGCGTCCGCTCTCCTGAGCTTGAAGGCGTTGCCTCTCACCCCGGCTAAGCTTCCGCGGGCTCAGCTCTTCCGGGACTCGACGGGGACATAGCCTGGGCCACCCCTGGCTGCGGGAGCTCCTCTTCAATACGGCTAGGGGCGAAGGAGTTGGTAACCAAGAAAGAACTACCGTCAGTCCACGATCCCAGGGTATCAGAACCAGCTTGCAGCCGGCCAGTTGTGTGTCCTGCGCCTTCCCGCGGCGACCGGCCCTGGCCATGGAGACAGCCATGGCGCGGAGGACTTGACCTTTACGGCACGAGAGGAGGGCGCTCTCTGAGATGCCGGGAGGGGGGGTTCTGCTCTTTCCAACCTCTCCCACCCAATAGCAGCCGGGACAACGCATGCCGCTCACCCCCATTCCCCCCTCCATTTTGTGCAGTGTCCGCAGACCCGCAGCCGGAACAAAGCTCCCAGCAGTGGTGTCACCGTCGCCTTTGCGAGCTCTTGTCCCTAACTCCCCTGGGCCAAAAGCCTCAGAGCTTAAGCCCCGCGATCTAAGTCCCCCCCGCCCCCCACCGCGCCCTCTTTTTTCACTTAACCCTCAGCCAGGGCCAGGGTACTACTCTGGGTGCCGGGCCCCCGTCTGTGCCAACTTCCCGTGCGCCGGGTCCTGGCCTCGGGCTGCGGGCGGCGCCGGGCCTACAGCCGAGCCTAGCGTGGCCGAGGCGCGGGATGAAGCGAGGCCGAATCTGCTTTCCGGCCCGGGCGGAGACCCGGGACTGCGCGGTGCGCCCGGATGCGGCCGCACGGGTCCGCAACGTGGCCGTGCGTGCCCCGTTCGCTCTCCGCTCCCTCGGAGCTCACCCCACCCGTCAGGCCAGGGCTCAGAAAGCGGAAGTATTTGGTAGAGAAAAACACGGTTTCTTTTCAGCCCGATTCAGAACCCCTTTTAGAGAAAATGCTCCTGTCAAGTTTTATTTCCCGTTGCAAACCACCTTCCACGCTGCCAAGAATTAAGACCGGGAGAGATTAAATACCCGATTATTCTCATGGGGTGGGAGGGGCGGGGCGGAGAAGGGGCACCCGCACAAAACATTCGTTTGACTCGTCTTGTCCTCATCAAATAACGCCTAGAGAGACCCGCGAAGGCCCGCGCGGGCGGCGGTGACGTCAGCCTGCAGCGGCGGGGCGAGACGCGGCGCGGTGGCCGGCCCTCCGGAGTCCGCCCGGCGCGGGCCTAGGGCGTCGGGGCCTTGACCTCTGCCTAATGTCCTGCTGCACGCCCTCTCCGGCCCACAAGCCGTCCGAGCGAGGCCGGCTCTCTAAGGCTTTGAGCCTCCATTTTGAGGAGAGAGTTCATACCGACGCGCGGAGGATTTCGAGCCTCCTCGGCCCCCGAGGGGCGCGGCATCGGGTGGCTCCCCAGGTCCGCGGCGGTACTTCTCCCGCGCGTCCCCGTCCCTGCACCTGGGGGAGGCCCCGCGCCGCTGCGCGACCGCCCGGAAAGGTTCGCACATCTCCGAGGCCCCGTTGTGAAGACTGCTGCCGGGTGGATCCAGCTCTTCGGCGGCGCGACGGAGCCAGGCAGAAATGAAATCAACTGTGGCGAGGCCTTGGCTGCTTCCACGGAGGACTTTTCTGTGCCAGCGTCTTTTTCCTTCCCTTGAAAATCAAATTAAAAATAGCAAACACCTTTCAGGCATTCGTCGGCGCTAGGCAGATGCGCTAGGATTGAAGCAGCCGATCAGAAAGTGGGTATTTTCATAAAGAATGAAGCCGGCTGTTATTGACCCGGCGGCCTGGCGGGTGAAAACTTAATTATTGTGTGCGTGTCCTAAAACTGAGGCATAAATCTCCCCAGGCCTCTTGGATAACGTTACATCTTTGCTTATGAAAAATGGGATGTGAGCAACTCGCTGCACATTTCTCTGATTCTCCAGGTCTTGGGCTGCTGACACGCATTCGGTCAACTTTAAAGGAATGAGCATAAATCAGCAAGCCCCTAGCGTCTCCTCCATAGAGGTTCGCAAATCCGGAAGGGCGCCTCTGAACCCCCTGGGTCTGGAGCTTAACAGTCCCGGGCAGGCTCCGTCTCCCCTCCGAAAGAAACTCGGGAATTCGCAGAGAGGAAACGAGTAGCCGCATCTTCACCAAACCCTCCAAACACACTCAGCAGAGTGGGATCCGCACATGTGTTAACATTCGGTGAACTGTGTCAGTAGCTACCCGCACACACGTGTATCGTCCTCAGCTGAATTTCGCTGCCTCGTGAATTTCAAGAAAATATCTCAATTAGGTTGAATTTTTAAAAAGAATAATTTTCTCCCCCTTTCTTTAAAAAGTTGTTTTCTGTTTTCAAAAAAAACAACAACAACTTAAATGGATGGCTTAAGCTCTGTATCAGGCATAAATAGTTGTGAAATGC